CAGTGCCATCTCTAGGATGATCAATTTAGACTAGTGATGAATATATTAAGTCTACTTTTAGGCAAATAATGGGGAAGGACAGAGTGCACCTGCTATTTCTCAAATGTCTTGGACTCAGAATAATCTTTAAGCCAAAATGGTATATTTTGGAGTGGCATATTCTGGTCCTGTATATACTCAACTAGTTGTTGAATAGCATGCTTTCCTTTTTAATTGAAATTTTTATTGAGATAAACTTAGATTCACATACAATTATAAAAAGTAATACAGAGAGGTCCCATGTGTACTTTATTTAATTTCCCCCATTTGAAACATTATGTAAAACTATAGTACAATATTAAAACCTGTGTGTATAGTATACAGACATGTATGCATATGTATATATATAGACATTATCTTTTTTATTTTTTAATGTTTTATTTATTTTTATAGAGGAAGGAGGAGGGATAGAGAGATAGAAGCATTGATAAGAGAGAGACATCAATCAACTACCTCCTGCACCCCTTGCTGGGGATTGAGCCTGCAAACTAGACATGTACCCTAACTGGGAATTGAACCAGGGACTTCTTGGTTCATGGGTTAACACTCAACCACTGAGCTATACCAGCCGGATTACAACCCAGATATTGACCTTGATACAATCCAACAATCTTATTCATATTTTATGTTTTACTTGTACTCATTTTTGTTTCTGTAGTTATATCTATAATTTTATCACATGTGTAGATTTCTATATTTACTACCACAGTCAAGATACTGTATAACTCTAATGCCACAATAATCTGTCATGACCACACCTACTCCTATCCTACTTGCCATCCACATACCATCTGTCTTCCATTTGTAAAATTTTATCATTTTAAAATCTTATATAAATAGAACCATAGAGCACATAACCTTTTGGATTATTTTTTTTACTCAGCTTATATCCTTGGAGAGTCATTGAAATTGTTCAATATATCAATAGTTCTTCTTTATTAGTGAGCAGTATGCTATCATATGTACATATAGTATACTTAATCCTTCTCCTGTTGAAGGAGTTAGGATGTTTCTAATTATTGACTAATACAAATAAAACTGATATACATATTCAAGTACAGCTTTTTGTATAAATACAAGCTTTCATTTCTCTGTAATAAATTTCTAAGAATGCAATTTTTGGGTCCTATGGGAGCAGTATGCTTGATTTTATAAGAAACACCAAGCATTTTTCAAGAGTGTCTATACATTCTTACTAGCAATGTATATTAGTGATCCAGTTTTCCTTTGCATACTCGCTAACATATAATTTCATGACTACTTTTGTTTTAGCCAGTCTTGTAAGTTTTTAAATCATTGCCATTTTAATTTTTCTATGATATTGAACATATTTTTCATGTGTTTGTTTGCCATCTGTATATCTTATTTCTGTGAAATGCCTGTTCACTTTTTTTTTGGCCTATTTTCTAATTTTGTTTTAACTGCTGAGTTTTGAGAATTCTTTTATTGATACTAGTATTTGGTTGGATATGGAGATTGCAAATACTTTTTTCTGACTGAAGCTTGTCTTTTACTGGCTTTCACAGAACAGAAGTTTTAATTTTGGTGTACCTGTATCACTGAGAAAATATTGTGTGTACATCTGAGTATATGAAATACACACACACATATTATATATATA